CCTGTTCAGGTATCTGAAGCGACATGGAACAGCCAAATCTGAGTACTGTTGCTGCAAAAGCTTCCAAAAGGACTGCATGTTTTCCTCTGGGGTCCCAGGAAGGATGTAAAAAACGAGCATGAAGATGATGCTGGCATACAAAAACTGGTCTAGGCCGAGGTATTTTATGTGAAGCCAGTCAAACGCCACGGTCCAACAGCTCGTTCCAGGAAGTTGCAGCAAAGGGCAGGATGATTTGCCAGACCACAATCGCCATTCGGAGGCTTTCCAAGACGTGGCTCGCCAAGCCGCAGAAGTTCGGAAGTCTTGCCAGCTGCAAGGGCCGACCTTCGTGCTCCGGCACAGAGCACATGGCCCCGAAGCCAATGTACTTCTTGGGAGGTCAAGGACCGATGCATAATAATCAAGATCGCCTTGCAAAGAGAAAAGGAAAGCGAAATGTCCTCCCATCAAAGGTTGTCCAGCTTTGCGAGCTTCCTGACTCCCTGCCGGGTACCTGATCTGTCTGGGTATATATGTCGGGGTTTATATATGTCTAGGCTTTTGAACAAATAGGGGAGGTCAACCCTAAACACTAAACCCTAAACCCCTAAACCCTAAACCGTGCTAGGCTCTCGAGCAAAGAAACACAAGATTGACAATGCCATCCAAGATACTGCTTGCCCGAAAAATCAGCTGATGGCCAAACACCTTCCCAGAGGATTTGAAATGACCAAGCCAGCACTGCCAAGAACTTGTGAGCGGTGCCATTCATGTCATTCGACATGACTCTCAGCTTTTCCCAAAATCCACCCATGTAAAACAGTAGCTCTTTCACAGAGCCAAGACCCAAAAGGCTCATGAAACTCAGGTCGGTCAACTGCTGGCACCAAGCTTTCCCCAACGCAGTGATTGGAACAGCATCGCCGTGAACACCCAGGGGTATGCAAAGCCGCTGATAATTCGGCCGAGCGAGGAGTGGGCTTGACTCCAGTGCAGGATGGCCCTTCACTGAGCGCCAAAACTGCTCGGCTCGGCTATCCGACGGCTTCACAACCTTAACCCAAACAGCTGGGAAAGTGTCATAAATGGATGCCAACAGCTCGTGTGGCATGAGCACCGGAAGTGTATCCAGACCCGCCTTGGTCGGTACCTTATGAAGAACCGCAGGTGGCACCTTGATGCTCGGGGCCAGCTGCCTTGTCAAGTCGGCCCAACACTTGTTCGGATACAGGCCACTGGCCCCCAATTTGGCCAAAGTTTCCAGCTCTCCAGGCATGTCGCCGGTCTCTCTGGCCCTCGCTGCATCCCTGCATGACAAAGCCGCTATTTTTTGCACTTGTTGCGGCGACATTGATCCCCACAGGCATTCTTCCACCAAGTAGGCAGCAAGATCAGAGGTTTGGGTTTTTTCCTCTCTACTTCTTTGCAGTCGTTGCCTCAGCCCACCTTTTCGCTTCTTCGCCGGAGGTTCAGCCATGAGAAATGAACAATCTAGGATCGTTGGAGATGAATATGCTCAGGGTCTGTCGCAAGAGAGTGTATTTTTAGATAAAAAAACCTATGTACCATGAGAGTCTACCATGAGAGTCTACCATGAGAGACTGTATACCATGAGAGTTTACCAATAGAGAGTGTACCATGAGAGTCTACCTTGAGAGACTTTACCATGAGGGTATACCATGAAACACTGTGTGACATAAGAGTATACCATGAAGGACTTTCATGTAAAAGGTCATATAACATGAGAGTCCAGCATGACATGGTACTCAGCCCGAAACCCTAAACCCCTAAGCCCTAAACCTCTAAACCCTAACTCCCAAACCCCTCGTTCTGGCTAATATGTCTACACACTGCCAGGGCCTTCGGAATGTTATCCAAGGAGACACCTAAGACCTATCGAGGAGTGCGATCACAATCTGGGCTTGCTTATCTGGAATGTGTAGCGATGTTGTTTTCATCTAGTGTCTGAGTCCCCTTGAGGGAGCAGACTTGAGCATTCATGTTCAAGTGATTCGATGCATCTTGTAATTTGGGGAATGCTTATACAGGTCGCTGTTGTAGAGGTTGTTCAAGCCTTTTAGGCGCTCAGGTTCAGGGTTTAGGGCGGAGGTGTATGGTTTGAATTTCGGGGATTGGGGTATCCGGGCTTCCAGGGTTTAAGATTGAGGCTGCATGGCCGAAACAAGGGCGGTGGTCTATTGTCTATATGGGATTGGGTTTGGGGATAGAGTGTTGGGTTGAGGCTTCATGGTTTAGAATCGTGTGGGATTGCTGTTGGAACGTCCAGGCTTTGGGGTCCATGGGTTCGTGGTCTTATGTGGGTGTATACATGGGTTTGATAGTTTGGTTAGGGTGAGGCTGTTCGTGGTTTGATGCGGGTGGGGAGGGGTTAGGGATGGAAATTGCAACATCCAGGGTGTGCAGTTCAAACTTTGTGAGATTTATGGGTTTTGGGCTCAAGGGTTTGGGGTCTATATAGGTTTTTTTAGGTTTGGTCCTTAGGGCTTATAGGTATGTATATCTATTCATAGGGTTATTCAAGACATAGTGCTCAAGGCCTAGGTTTTAGGTTTCGAAGCTTAGGCTTCATAGACCTTCGGGCATAATTTCTATGGACCAGGTCACCAGACAATGGGTTTGAGGCTTAGGGTGCTTTTTGGAGCTCGGGTTTGTGTGCAAGTTTCGGTCGGTGGGTGAGGTTTGTATCCGGGATTTGGGATTCGAGCTTTTGTATAGTTCCTACACACAGGGCTGGGGCAACTTAGGAAAGGGACAAAAGGTTCAGGCACGGGTGCACTTCCAGAAAGATGTTTCAAAGCTTGCAGGCAGGGAAGAATTGGAAGCAGGGTTCAGGACATGGTTAGTAGCTGGGTGTGGTTGAAAGGGTTGGAGCTATACGGGTGGAGAGTTTGTGTCGGGACGTAGGGTTTGCAGGGTATCTTGTTCGGGATAGCAAAGTGTAAGGCTTAGGGTTTAAGGTTGTGTGTGGGCGGGTGGAGATTATTCCATGAAAGTATAATTAACTTTCATGGCATTATATAAGTTCGAAAAATAGCTCTCCACTCAAACTCTCATGGTGTCGTTCTCTCAGAGAAGCTCTCTTGGAAGACCAAATTAGGGTTCTGGGTGGCTTGGGCTTGTATATGACATACTTACAGTTACATAAGACTCTATTTCTCAAACAAAAGCGCCATGGCGACGACATTTTTCATGTCTAGAGTCTAATGCTTCGGTTCGAGCGAGATTTCCTCGATGGGTGCACAGCATAGCTGCAAGCGGAGGCCAGAGCAAAGATCGAAAAACCTAGTCTATCGACACAGCTACGAAGATCCAAAAAATTAGTCTATCAACACAGCTATGGTCTATGCTGCTTCTATAACTCTTCACTCCTCCTGCTCCTGCCCAAAACAGCTTACAGCTACACGTAGCACCGGTGGTGTTGCATACACAGCTGTACAGGGGCCAGACAAAAGATCGAAAAAACTAGTCTATCAAAACAGAACAGCTATGAAGATCAAAAAAAATAGTCTCTCAAGACACCTATGCTTTGTGCTACTTTATCTGCAACTGTTCTTCTTGCCCCACCAAAAAGCTGCTCGCAGCAACATCTAGCACAGGTCTTGTTGCAAAAAGCACATCGGCAGCACACACAGCATCTACAGCCGGTCAGCTCAAGCCGATCATGCGATGCTCATGAGAGCATGATCATCAGATCCTCTTGATGACATCTTAGACGTCTCAATTGATTTTGGCTTTCAAGGCCCCTTGGCTGCTCTCAACCAGAACATTGAACTGCTCCGTATGATCGGCCACCTTCAGGAGGAACTTGTCGAAATTCGGCTTGGTCAAGGCCTCGTCATCCGGGAGCTCGCGAAACTGCTTGATGTGGTCCAGCTTCACGATGAACTCCTGGCTGCCCTTGTGGTACTTGCGAAGGTTCTTCGTCGTATCATCATCCGCCCCCCACTTCTTCAAGATAATCATGGCATCCTTGGAGAGCTTCTGCTGGGCTTCCAAGGCCGTACGAAGCACTGCCTCGATGTTGGTGGGCACGGAGCCCCCCTTCGCGAACTTCTTGGTCTCATCGGTGGAGTGCTTCATCTTCCAGCCGATGCGAGAAAAGCACTCGGACAATATCTTGGCCTGATCCTTGCTCACCTTGGCAGTCGAAGAGAGCTCCTCCTCCTCCATGCACCCTGTCTTCTGGACTGCCTTGAAGGTCTGAAAGCTAAAGAACTTGACTCCTGGGACCGAGCTCTTCGCCTCGCAAATCTCGCCCTTTGCCAGGGCGGCCTCGAACTTGTCGTCGTTGTTGGCATAGAACATACCCTTGAATATGCTCTCGGGGTAGGAGATCTCGGAGCTCTTGGAGAAATTCTCGTTGTAAAGCTTCTTGTGCTCTTTAAAGCAAGCATCTTGCAAGTTCAAGTGGATCTTGCCTGACTTGTCCTTGGAAACGACATAACAACACAGAGCAAACCACGAAGAAGCAACATTGGCAAACTGGGGTACAAAGATCCCAGTCGCCCTGACATTCGGCTGGTTTCGTAGCAAAGAATGCTATCGAGATGGTGTTACAGAACTAGAGAGTTTCCTTACATAGTGATGATCGTTCTCTGGTAGTTTTTCTTTTCGTGGTACCGCCAAACACATCACGACGACATTTACTACTACAATACTCCTCCTCCTCCTCCTCCTCCTCCTCCTCCTCCTCCTACTACTACTACTACTACTACTACTACTACGACTACTACTTCTGCTACACTACTATTCTAGACTTCTTCTTTACTACTACTACTACTACCACCACCACCACCACGGAGCAAATGGAGTAGTATACGGTATAATAGTAAATGTAGACCCATGCCCCTGGGATGCAAAGACCGTGCTCATAACATAATCTCGCAGCCAAGATTCTCTCTTGAACAGCTTGTTGATGATTTTCGACTTGAACTCCCGTGGGTGGGCTGCCTTGGCCGACTGGGTCTCCACCAAGTCCACCACGTAGGCAGGCAGGTCTTTCTTCATCTTCTGAAACTTGAGAGCAAAGCCCTTGTCTCTTGAGGTGCTTTCGTCACCCTCATCCTCCTCCTCCTCCCCCTCCATGTCGTGGTCGGCCTTCCCATCCTCGATGCACAAGGTAGCCGAGCTCTTCGTTCGCTTGATGGAATCATTCATGCTCCCTTTCTTCGTGATGGCCTCATCCTCCTCCTCCTTGACCTTCTTGGTCTTCGTGGACTTAGCCGCCGCCGGCTTTTTCATGACTTTTATGGCCATCTTAGAAAGCACCATGCTTTCAAAAGGCACAACACACGGAACGACTAGCAAAGCTACTGCACCGATGCAGCTGGGCGAAAGCACTGCACAGCAAGCCAATGGAAGTTTAGTGGAAGTTTCCACCAAACTGCTACTAGCACTTTGGTGGTAGTTTGCTAGCAGTTCGAAAGCAGTTTGGGAAGCAGTTTAATAGCAGTTTCGGGGCTTTAGGCAGTATTCCCTGGTACATATATAAAAAGCATGCATAGAAACTGCTACTGGTAATCTTGGAAACTGCTAATGGGCTGCTAATTGCCAGTGGAAGTTTAGTGGAAACTTCTACCAAACTGCTACACTAGCCAGTGGAAGTTTAGTGGAAACTTCTACCAAACTGCTACACCTGCTTGTGGAAGTTTACTCGAAATTTCTACTAAATTGCTACTGGCACCTAGAAACTTTACTTAAATTCCATAGCTTTTTGCTTCTGCTACATTATTGGAAACTTACCCTGGCCTGTATATTGGGTAGTGGGAACACACATCCGGGTCTGAGTCTGGGTTTGGGGTTTCGGGCCTTTGAAGCTTTAGGCTTTGAGGGTTGTGGGTTTCAGGAGTTATAGGGCTACAGGGTTTTGTTCTTTGAGGGGTCGTTGCTTTTGGGTTCGAGGCCTGTATATTGGGTAGTGGAAACACACATCCGGGTCTGAGTCTGGGTTTGGGGGTTCGGGCTTTTGAAGCTTTAGGCTTTGAGGGTTGTGGGTTTCAGGAGTTATAGGGCTACAGGGTTTTGTTCTTTGAGGGGTCGTTGCTTTTGGGTTGGAGGCTTTGGGCTTGTGGGGGGCTGAAGGGTTTAGGGGAGGAGATAAGGCACCAGGGTTTTAAAATTTTAGGGTCGTGGCTTTGGGGTTTGAGGCTTGAGGCTTGGAGGGCTGAAGGGTTTAGGGGTTGTGGCTCTTGGGTTTGAGGAAATAAGGCAACAGGGTTTTAAAGTACTAGGGGTCGTGGTTTTGGGGTTTCAAGCTTTAGGCTTGGAGGGCTGAAGGGTTTAGGGGTTGTGGCTCTTGGGTTTGAGGAAATAAGGCAACAGGGTTTTAAAGTACTAGGGGTCGTGGCTTTGGGGTTTCAAGCTTTAGGCTTGGAGGGCTGAAGGGTTTAGAGGTTGTGGCTTTTGGGTTTGGGGAGATAAGGCTACAGGGTTTTAAAGTTTTAGGGGTCGTGGCTTTGGGGTTTGAAGCTTTAGGCTTGGAGGGCTGAAGATTTCGGTGGTTGTGGCTTTTGGGTTTGAAGCTGTAGGGCTGTATGGTTTCAAAGTTTTAGAGGTCGTGGCTTTTGGCTTTGATGTGGCTTGTGGGTTTGAAGCTTTCGGGTTGCATGGCTTTTGGGTCTGAGGGCTTTGGGTGCTAAAGTCTAGGTTTGGGCGGCTTTAAGAGGTTTAGGGGCTCTGAGGAAATCGTGTTGGCTTGCTGGGCAGCACTCTACACACCCTCCGGTAACCCTCAATGTTTCATCTCAGCCCTCTGGGTCGCTCTCTGAGCTCCGGCCCCCGTGTGAAACATCGTCGCCGCCAGCCTGTGGGGTCTTAGCTTTCTAGGTGAAGTATTATGCGGGCTTCATATATGTTACCATGTGAGAGGGCGGACTATGGTTACCACCGAAAGTGAACCAGCACAGCTTTAAAGCAATCTTAGGCCACATAATGCTTTAGTTGCAGCACAACACCAAAGTTGCAAACCCCAAAGATCCCATAACATCTTATAACACCTGATACCTGAACCGGCAGGAAACCCTAAACCCCCAAACCCGAAACATTCTGAATCCCTAAGTCCGGGTTCAAGGTTTAGGGATGAGGGTTTGGGATTTAGGGTTTAAGGTTTCCGGTTTATGGTGATCAGATAGCATTATATTGTGCTTATTTTGCAAACCTGGCTTCCGAGATCACATCTGGCTCCACTTCGCCAGGCTCCGTCGGGGTGTGCTCGTCCAGCCTCGGTCGCTTCCGATATCGCTTCACGACAATTGGACCCACAGACGATGGCGAGCCAACTGTAGCAGAGCCATCTGTACCAGAGCCATCTGTACCAGAGCCACGTGTACCAGAGCCATCCGTACCAGAGCCATCTGTACCAGAGCCATCCCCATCTGTACCAGACTCAGAAGGCGCCGAAGCCTCAGCCTGACCCAGCAGGCTCCCTTGAAGCTGGGCCCTCAGAGCTTCGTCTCGTGCATCTGTACCAGAGCCAGCATCTGTACCAGAGACATCGGTAGCCTGTGTACCAGCAGGAGAAGTGGGCTCCAAGGTCGGCGAAAGCGGTTGGGCCACCAAGCGAGGATCCACTTCAGCTGCTGGTGCCGGTGCTGGTTCTGGTGCCGGTGCTGGTTCTGGTGCTGGTGCCGGTGCGGGTGCTTGTGCTGGCGCTTTTGCGGGTGCTGCACCGCCAACACCAGCACCAGCACCTTTGCCCCTCCTCGGCTCAGCAGGCTCTGCAAAAAGAGGGACCTCGGCCACTCGGAAGTCGTACTTTCCGTGCAACTGCTGGCATAACCAGGTCACATTCTCCCTGCAGGCCACTTCCAAAAAAGCACTGCACATTGTTTGCTTGCCAAAGTTGCCCTTCCGGACGATAGTAATATTCAGACATTGAACACCCAAGTCCCAGCATACTTTGGCGATTTCTGTCCTTGTAACCTGAAATCTGAGGTTTCTCAGGAACACACGATGCTGGCCATCCATCTCGGTGAAACTGGTTGTAGAAGGATTCTAGGATTACAGGGTGCTCGGTTCCGCACGGTTGCTACAAAGCTAAAGCCCTAGGTTGTAGACTGTAGGTTTGCAGGGTGCTATACGGTCAAGGGTTGTAGACTTTAAGCTTGGCTTTGTAGGGTGCTAAAGTCTGAGGTTGTAGAATCTAAGCTTGGGTTTGCAGGGTGATGAAACTTCT